ATGTACTTAGACTAATACTCAACATACTAGCTAAGTCATGGCCTCAAGAGAACGTCTTACCGCGATCATCATAATTTATAAGTCTTACTAACGACTTAGGTTATAAGAAACTTATAATTATGTATCAACAATTCAACTTAGTAATTTTCACATGCTAAAATTTTTAAGTACTTAGCAAAAATACAAATCACGCAGCCACGAACCTCACTTGTAATTTAATTAAACACACAACAAGCATCACCGAGACTCACCTTTAACTTGGTGAACAATCGCGGTTTTGCCCAACGGCTTCTACGGACGTTTGCCTTAGACTTTTACGAATGGTTTTGCCTTAGCCTTTGAACTGGAATCTGTTCCAAAGGTTCACGAATTAACTAAGGCAAGACTTAGTGTTTTCTTAAGGGAAATTTGATAGTAAAGCCTACGGATCTTACCTAGCTTGGAACTGAGCTTGCCGCAGACTAACTATAGATCCTCCGAAATCTAGCCGGTTTTGATCCTACGATTTTAAGTTGGGACCAAGCATCAAATCAAGAAACTAAGGTTAGAATCATGATTAGCACGAAAAATCACTTCGGAAAGACTAAAGTTCAATCCAATAAGGCTTACCCAAAGTATTTCTAAAACGGCTTGGAAACAGATACTGTGGGCACAAGATTGGACAAAGTAAGGCTCGGGAAATTTCTCTTTCTTTCAAAACCTAACGGAACTGAACCCACGTTCAGCATAGTTCCAGCCATTTAATCAAGATATTTAGGTTAGAATCAAGATCAATACGTGAAAACATGTTGAAAATAATCGGACTTGGACTTAGAAAACTTATCCTAAGTTCCCACGAAAAGGTCCTAGCTTGGCTTCTGCTCGGTCATTGTATGGGTCATTACACCGACGGTCGCCTCACGCCTCCGATGAAATTTCTTGTTCTTCCCTTCTCTAAATCATGGCTACTGCTCAGTCACTCTCTACTTCATCCACTCCTCTGGATCTACATCGATCCCCACTTCACAACTCTTGCATCCTGAATTGGGTTTCATTAAAACTTGTGGGCTCTGTCAAATCCCATCTCCGACCCCAAGGATAAATCTCTGCTCTGGGTCGAAAAGGTGAAGTCCTCGTTCCAATCTCTTTCCAAGATGTCTTCCCCTACTTTCGCGGAGGACGGAATAGCTCAAGTTCAGGCTCCTGATTCGGTTATTCTGGGCTCAGCGCAAATTTGGAAAGATCATCTGGTGGCTCGATTTCATGGGAATCCTCCATCGTTCTTAATTTTCATCCCCTGTTGTATAACGAGACATCGGGTTTTGGCACTTTGAGAATTGCTCGTCCATGAAGCTTGTTCAAGCACCAATTTGGGTTTTGTTCAAAAACATCCCACCGGAAGTTTGGTCTCTTGTGGGTTTCAGTACAATTGCATCAGGTATCGGACTTTCAGTACATTCAGAGTTCTCAAATCTTCGGCCCTATTCTAATGGAGTAATTAAGCTAAACGTTGTTGTTGAGTTGGCCAAGAATCGTCTTTCTTCTGTTCGTGTGACTGATAAATTGGGGAACTCACTGTTGAATGCCTCCTAAATGCGAGTTATGTGAAGATTATGGACATCGTTGCCCAACTACTGTAGTTCCGAGTGTCTCTACTGGCAGTAAAGATGTTCAGCCTCGGGTTGGTGGAACTCCTCTGTTAATTGCACCTCAAATTTCCCAGGTTCAAGGTGAGACAAAACTAGATAGTGAAAAGATGGCTTCGGGTTGTGAACAGGTCAAAGCCCCTTCACAATCAGTCCGTGTCGTCAGCTTCAGCAAATATTCAACCTGTTACCTCAGCTCAGTTTGATGATGAAGAAGAATTGATAAAGGCAGCACAGTTGATTATTCGTAACCGCATTGCTAGTTCACAAGCAGTACCATCTCAACATGGACATGGAGCCTCAAATAAAAAGGGCAAAAAAGCACGACAGCTTCAAAGGAAACAACTGATGATTTTGTCCTCCCCTCTTACGGTACCTCCTGATCCGTCGGGTACAGTCACAAGTGCTCCCCCTCAGGTTTCAGTTGGCAGTGGGCATTCCCAATCGCGATATGCTCCTCTTTTACTTAATTAGGTGCCCTGCACCGCCCCTCCTACATCATTCTTATAAAGATTTTTTCTTGGAATGTTAGGGGTCTTAACGACAATACAAGACAATTGTCGGTTAAAAAAATGGATTTTTGATAATCGTCCTTTGGAAACCCATGTGAAGCAATGTAACCTCTCGGATATTATGCATCGTACTCTACCCGGTTGGAATTTTGAAGAGAACTATTCTGATGCAGCAGATGATGGTAGGATTATTGTCATTTGGAACTCTTGTTTATCAGTTGTGACTTATTTAAAGACTCCTCAGCTGATGCTATGTGGTGTCTTTGGCTTTTGTCACTAGTCACTAGTCAATCTTTCACTTTGGCTTTTGTTTATGCCAAGAATAGAAGAAATGAACGGATTGAGTTGTGGAATACCATAAAGAACTTGGCTTCTCTACCTATTATGCGCAACACTCCTTGGCTCATCATGGAGGATTTTAACCAAGTACTTTTTCTATCAGAGATTTACTCATTATATCCGGGCAGGGTGTCGGTTCGTGGAATAGAGGAATTTAGAGAATGTTTGGATACTTCTGGTTTGTTTGATTTTGGTTGTAGAGGATGTCATTTCACATGGAAAAATAATAGTTCTCTAATACCGAAAGCTAGGAAGTTGGACAGGACTTCTTCAGGCAGTTTGGAATAGTTCACTTATCACATCTGGGCCAATGTTTACTCTCTACCAGAAGTTGAGAGCTGCAAAATTATGTTGTAAAGATCTTAACAGGAACAATTTCAGTAACATTCAGGCCAGAACTAATGACGCATTGGCCAGACTAGAGAGCATTCAAAGAAGAATGCAAAGTCAACCATCTCACTCAAATTTTCAAGAAGAAGTGGCGGCTAGGAATGATTGGTTGTATGTGGCAGCAGCAGAAGAGAACTTCTTTAGCCATAAGTCCAGGGTCAGGTGGCTTAAAGAAGGAGATGCAAATACATTCTTCTTTTTCAAGTCGATAAAAGATAACCTCTCAAGAAATATTATTCACTTTCTACATAATGAGGCAGGAGACAAAATTTCAGATCCTGCGGTGTTGAAAAGTATGTTTATTAGCTATTATTCGGATTTGTTGGGAACATCTAATGATGGGGTGAGAACCTTCTCAATGGAACAGATTCAGCGACTTCATCCATATAGATGTGATAGTGCACTGTTCTCAGTACTTGCGGCTATTCCC